ATTTCAACCCTATATGGCCCCAATGAAAAATATGTATGAATTAGATAGCATAAACATAATGAAGTTCACCAAAGAATAACCCTTTTAAGTTAAACTTTTTTTATCATAATGATTTAGATAAGTATCTGTCTGCCTTGAATAAATTGATGAGGTGTTGTAATATACTAAACATATAAGCCAGCAATTTTCATTTGTGGTTAGATATGGACTCATATATAATTAAATCTTTTTTTTTTTGAGTTGGAGTCTCACTCTGTCACCCAGACTAGAGTGCAGGAGCCACTCCCGGCCACCGCAGCCTCGACCTGCTGGGCTCCGGTGATCCTTCTGCCTCAGCCTTCCAAGTAGCTGGAACTACAGGTGCGGACTACCATGCCCGGCTAATTTTTCTGATTTATTGTAGAGATGAGGTCTCGCCAAGTTGCCCAGGCGGGTCTCAAACCCACAGACTCAGGCAATTCATTCACCTTGGCCTCCCAAAGCGCGGGATTACAGGCTGAGTCACCGAGCCCAGCCAATTAAATCTTATAATACTAAATAAAGTTGTCATTTGGTATTTAAACATATACTCTAATTTATTTCACTTAACAAAAAGCAAAGCAAAAACTAAGAAAATTAAATCATACTGATACTGTTTGAATGAATTGGACATTTGTCATTCATGCTGCAGTCCTGCATTTTACTCAAAAGAACAATATGAATCTCAAAATCTGAGAATAAAAGAACTTGAAAGTCCACTTGCAAAGGGAAAAAATAGCAAAAATCTTTACCAAATGAAAGAAACACACAACTTAGCTCAGCAGAACTTCTACATACCTAAAGACAATGTAGATGTGCAGCCACAATTTTTTGAAAAATAAAGTTTCTTCTTGGTCTTTCTTGTGATTCTGTCTTAACAAAACTTACATAAAACAAAATTTTATAATTATTTGTTGATATTTTTAAAGGTTTTAGGAGCCCAGCTCGGTGGCTCAGCCTGTAATCCCGCACTTTGGGAGGCTGAGATGAGTGGATTGCCTGGGCAACTTGGCGAGACCTCATCTCTACAGTAAATCAAAAAATTAGCTGGGCATGTTAGCGCGCACCTGTAGTTCCAGCTACCTGGAAGGCTGAGTTGGAAGGATTGTTGGAGCCCAGCAGGTCAAGGCTGCAGTGGCCGGGAGCGTGCCACTGCACTCCAGTCTGGACGACAGAGTAAGACTCCAACTCAAAAATAAATAAATAAATAAAGGAACCTTTTGAGATTATTCTTATTATTTTTTTAAATGGAAGTTTTCATTTCTCCAAGTATTAATTCTTTTTTTTTTTCCTCCAGCGGTCCTTCCGCCTCAGCCTTCTAAGTAGCTGGAACTACAGGCGCGCACTACCACACCCGGCTAAGTTTTTGATTTATTGTAGAGATGAGGTCTCGCCAAGTTGTCCAGGCGGTTCTCGAACCCACGGACTCAGGCAATCCACTCACCTCAGAAGTAGTTTTCAACATGAGCTGATCTATTTTTATTTTCTTTCTTCTATAGCATTTGGAAGTCAGCTATTTGGATAAGGGTTTTCGGTTCATTGTTTTGGGAAGTGAAACTGATAACCCTGCCCTTATTAGCACTATAAGCTACAAATGCATTTACTATAGTTATTTGTCTGTGGAGAGATATGTATTTTGAAATAAAGACACACATTACATACTGCATCTGTCTTTTAGATCTTAGATTTCCTACATATACTTTCTGGTGACCACATTTTTTTATACCAAGTAAAAAAAATATTTCTTCTGGAGATTTCAAGACAATATGGTAAAATTTACTAGTACATATTACACTTGAGCTTGTACCAGCACATGGTTGCTAGTTCATTTCTAATAGCATAATATGGCCTTTTCTCTGGAGAAAATGCCCTTTTCATCCTTCTATGCCAAAATAAATGTTATCACAGTAATACCACTTCATACTTAACACAATTTTTGAGTTTACAAAGCTATTTTATAAATATTATTCTATTTGAGTTTTACAATAACCCAGTATGGTAACGGGGAAGATATTATTTTCTACACTTAATAGATGAACCAAGGTTGAACAGTCACGAAGTAGTAGAACTGGGACTAGAAAGGCATTAAACTTTCCACAAGAATATGCTGCCTCCTCTATACATACCAGGCAACATATTCCTTTTGTAGAAATTTTATTCTATGAGCCGGGCTCGGTGGCTCAGCCTGTAATCCCGCGCCTTTGGAAGGCTGAGGTGAGTGGATTGCCTGAGCCCGTGGGTTCGAGACCCGCCTGGGCAGCGAGACCTCATCTCTACAATAAATCAAAAAATCAGCCGGGCATGGTAGCGCGTGCCTGTAATTCCAGCTACTCGGAAGGCTGAGGCGGAAGGATCGTCGGAGCCCAGCCGCTCCTGGCCACTGCACTCCAGTCTGGGTGACAGAGTGAGACTCCACTCAAAAAAAAAAAAAAAGAAATTTTATTCTATGATTTTAAGTCACTTTCTTAAATTGCCTTTAGAACAAGGTAAAATATAAATTAAGAGAGGAAAAAAACCCTGTAGTAAAAGGGAGTGCTTTTTCCTTTTTTTATTTTGCTATTACCTTTCTCTTTTTTTGAGTTGGAATCTCACTCTTGTCGCCCAGGCTGGAGTGTACATCACCCAGGCTGGAGTGGACAGTGACATGCACACAGCCACTGCAGCCTAGACCTGTTGGGCTCCGGCGATCCTTCTGCCTCAGCCTTCCAAGTAGCTGGAAATACAGATGCATGCTACCACGCCCGGCTAGTTTTTGTGATTTATTGTGATTTATTGTAGAAATGAGGTCTTACCAAGTTGCGCAGGCTGGTCTCGAATCCTTGGACTCAGGCAATCCTCTCTCCTCGGCTTCTCACAGTGCTGGGATTACAGGTTGAGCCACAGTGTCCGGCCTATTACCTTTCTTTCTTTTTTTGTTTTTTTTTTTTTGAGTTGGAGTCTCACTCTGTCGCCCAGACTGGAGTGCAGTGGCCGCTGCCGGCCACCGCAGCCTCGACCTGCTGGGCTCCGGCGATCCTTCCGCCCCAGCCTTCTGAGTAGCCGGAATTACAGGTGCGTGTTACCACACCTGGCTCATTTTTTGATTTATTGTAGAGATGAAGGCTCGCCAAGTTGCCCAGGCGGGTCTCGAACCCGCGGGCTCAGGCAATCCACTCACCTCAGCCTCCCAAAGGCGCGGGATTACAGGCTGAGCCACCGAGCCCGGCTCTATTACCTTTCTTAAAGAAGTCCTTCTTTTATCTTTTAGGTGTCAGACTTACCTAAACATGTATTCTGCGACATTTAAAAAAATACATGTGAACAGTTCTAAGACAAGGACATTTTAAAACACTAACCTGAGTTCTGCAAGTGGATCAATAAGTTTCATCACATTTCTTCCCTATCACTAACTACAATGTGACAGGACTAATCATCTGTTTCTGATTTACTATAGCTAAGATATACATTCCTCTTGATTCCTTACTTGGGCCGATCATAATTGCAGGTCAGTTATTGACTGATCTATAGATAGGGTGATTTTGGAAGGAAATGATGAGTCTTACCATTTTGAAAAAAAAGATTATCAAAAAAAAGAGATTGTTTTCCTTTTTTGATACATAATGTCATTAGTAGCATTGATTTCAGTTTTCTGTCTTAACATAACTATAATTTCTTGTGTACCATTAGGCTTATGAGACTTATAATAAAAGGATATGGGCAGTCTCGATACCTTTTTTGATCTTTATCTTCAGGAAGGCTATCTCCATGCAGTCGAACAAATAAGTACTTGGCTGAATATCTGGTGAACTTGGCTTTGCATAGGCTGTGTACTGAAAGGGTGAATTTATCTGTTCTGGGCTTTGATTTTCTCATATCTAAAAACGAGAGCGTGTGTTAATTCTAGACTATCATCCCAAGGGTCCATTTTAGCTTTAGTATGTATCTATTTCAAAATATTTGTTGAGACGGACAACACGGTGGGAATATTTGTGGATACCTAAATAGTGGTTTATCCTCTGGGAGAAAGTTTCATCAGGTACTAAATACTAACAAGGCCTATGACCAAAATCATGTAGCCACTAGGACTTGAGATATGCAAGGCTAAATTAGGGCATTTGAGGTGTTTATTAGGTCAAGAGTTCAGTGTGCTAAATGGTTGCTTAGTAACCTTAAGAGTGAAAGCAGAGTACCTAAATATTATAAAGCGTTAAAACCATGAAAGAAGGGAAAAGGATGTTAAAATTTACAGCAAAGCCGGCGCGGTGACTCAAGTCTGTAATCCCAGCACTTTGGGAGGTTGAGGTGAGAGGATTGCCTGAGTCCAGGAGTTCGAGACCAGCCTGGGCAACTTGGCGAGCCCTCGCCTCTACAATAAATCAAAAAAAAAAAAAAAAAAAAAGAGCCGGGCGTGGTGGTGCATGTCTGTAGTTCCAGCTACTTGGAAGGCTGAGGCAGGATTTCCAGAGCCCAAGAGGTTGAAGCTGTGGTGGCCATGAGCGTGTCACTGCACTCCAGCTTGAGCGATAGAGTGAGACTCCGACAAAAAAAAAAAAAAAAAAAATTTACAGCAGAAATATAAACAAATGAGGAAAATATGGAGCGAAAATTTCTCCCACTAGTAAAATTCAACTCCTATATTTAACCCAGGTAAAACCAGGGCTCAGGTGTTTGGGGGAAAGCTTTTCAACCAGTCTTCAAAACATCTTGGGGAGGGGTATAAAAACAGGTTTAGAGGGTCTGTATTGTTCAAACCAATCCCAGGGGAACTCTCCTCGCGCCCGAGAATAGCTCAACACGGAAAATCCTATTTCCGGCCTCCTTCTCCACTTCAGGCCTGCAAAGTGGCTGACGGCACTCGCGGCGGCTAGGCAACCGTCCACGCATACTTCGCAGCGCGAGCCCCGCCTCTTGTGGAGCTTCCGCGACAGCGCGCCTCGGAACTTCTCCTCTCATTGGCTGGCGTCACAGTAGGGGTGGGCGGGGGAAAATGTGTCAGACTGTGAGGTCACTTCCGGCCCGGGAGCGCGCGGGTTGATTCGTCCTTCCTCAACCGCGGGTGCTCGCTGCTCGGAAATGGCGGGTAAGTTCCCGGGAAAAGTTTACCAAGGGGAGGAGGCGGGCAGATTTGAGAGAGAACGCCGAAACGGTAGTGACAGTGCCCACCTGGAACTTTTGGGCTCCAGCATGGGTTCTAGAATGCCTCTTTGGACAGGAAGCGCGGAACTCTCAGCCCAGCTCCCTGTCGGCCGCGGTCCGCGCCCCCGCCCCCAACTGCTCAGGGTTCTGCGTCCTCTGCAAACCGCCTGGCCCCTGCGGAGGGCCGAAGAGACCGGAGGAAAGGGTCACGATTGGGCTCGTAAAGTGCACATGCCCAGTGGTCTGTTTGTTTTCCCTTTCCTTTGGCCCACTGCTGCCTCAGCTTTACTACATCGGGTCCTGTTCCCGCCAGCTGATTTTAATGCTCCGATCCTTCTCCAGGTCTTCGTCCACTTGCCACTAGTCAACTTCAGAGCTACCTTGTTGCTGCCTTGCGCTTCACTTGGGCTCCCACTTGAATCTTCGCTGACTTCGTAATCGTCTCCTTAATCTCTCACACATTAGTATTGCTACGGTCGTATTTAGATGTCCTTTGAGAAAGACATCGTCTCTACACTCCTCCTTTATCACTCTTCTCTTTTAGAGTAGGACCACTGTAATACAGTTCTCTTGTGTTCGTTCAACTCTGCTCTCTCTCTTATTGAGTCCCTTCACTTTACTACATTTAGTAACTTATAATTACTATTACTTCCTACGTACATTAAGGCTGTTTTGGTGTACAGTTTTTTGTTTTCTACTCACGTATCTTTTGAAATGATGGGAAGTTTCTGTTTCTTTTATCATCTTTACACAGAGCCTTCGTAATAGTCTCGCTAGACGTTAAACATTCCATTTTTATGGATATGAAGACAAGCTATAGCGTGGGCTCTACAGATGTTTAAGGAAGAACTGTTCTACCAGATAGAGACTGTAGGATCTTGTATTGGTACCACAAAAGAGGGGAACATAAGTACTGTATAGGGTTTACATGTTCTAAGAATTACTTCTAAATTCGAATCTTGGCTCCATCGCTTAGTAGTTGGGTGTCCTTCAACTAAACTTCTTTCTAAGCATGAGTTTTTGAATGTGAAATCGAGTTGATATAATACCTAGTTATAGAATGTGGCGATTAAGCTAATATAGATCACACGTTAAATTGTGTTGCTTAGGTTATACATAAATACCTTGAAGTGCGTTCTGCAATCTCTGTTTTATAGATTAGTGTCACAGAGGTAATGTGCATAGAAGTAGTAAGTAATGGTAAAGCCTGGATTTGAGTTTAGGAATTCTCACTCCAAACTATTAATCTATATTTTTTCAAGTCTTTCCGGTTTTCTGTGTATGTGTATTTTAGCCACTGATTGAAGATTATAGCATGTCATTGTACCCCCTTTTACTCTTTTTGTAAAAGAAAAGTAAATTGTGCCCTCTGTGACTTTTTTTCGGTCAGGAGATTTGTTTCTTTACCTGAAAGTTTCTCTTGATAGTGATTGCTTCCAGAGTTAAGTATTTATGTATTTTTACTTGTAGTAAAAATATTTGATTGTGACAGTAGCTCATATTTTATGGCTTTAGCCACACATAATACAAAATCTTTTTTAATATAGTGAATTTTTTCTTTGTACGGCTGTCCCTTTTCTTCTTATACCAGGAGTAACCATGATTACCAGATATTTGTGTGTCATTCTTAAGGTAATCCATGCATTATCAGTTTTTTATCTGAAGTACTAGGTAAAATTTGTCCAATATTATAAATGAAATGCTGTTACAGTGATCAAAGGACATTCTCATTTTGCTTCTTACTTCTGATGATGAAGCATTGGCATTCTTTAGCATTACATTTCTTTTTTTTGGCTGGAGTGCAGTGGCAAGCTCATGGCTACCGCTGCCTCGACTTGCTGGGCTCAGGCAATCCTTCTGCCTCAGCTTTCCAAGTAGCTGGAACCACAGGCACGCACTACCACGCCCAGCTAGTTTTTTGATTTATTGTAGAGATGAGGTCTCGCCAGGTTGCCCAGGCTGATCTCAAACTCTGGGCTCAGGCAGTCCTCTCACCTCAGCCTCCCAAAGTGCTGGGATTATAGGCGTGAGCCACCGCGCCCGGCCTACATTTCTTTTTTAAAAGGCTGCTTAAGTATAAATCCTAGCAGGTAATTTGTATTTGTATTAAATGTTCAGAAATGTCAGTAGTCTATGCTATCATGTTAATTTTCAGGCTTATTCATTTATGTTAAGCAAGCCTAATTCATAAGCCTCTATTTCAAAAATGATTTATTTTTCTGTTATTAGTGAGGCATTCATACTTCATACATCCATACTTAGTACTTAAGAGTATGTGATAGGAAGAGCACAGTGGCTCAAGCCTGTAATCCCAACACTTTGGGAGGCCAGTGAGAGGATTGCCTGAGCCCATGGGTTCAAGAACAACCCGGGCAACTTGACGAGAACTCGTCTCTACTATAAATAATAAAAAAAAAAAAATTAGCCGGGTGTGGTAGCGCACACCTGTAGTTCCGGAGAATGTGAAATCGAGTTGATATAATACCTAGTTATAGAATGTTGCGATTAAGCTTATATATATCACACGTTAAATTGTGTTGCTTAGGTTATACACTTTTAAATTGTGTAGAGTGAGGCCTAAGGATCGCCGGAACCCAGCAGATCAATGCTGGAGTGGCTGTGAGCGTGCAACTGCATTCCGGTCTGGGCAACGGAGTGCGACTCCAACTCAAAACAAAACAAAACCAAAAAAAGAGTATGTGATAAATGACCTGTACTTTTATGATTTATTAGCATGTTTTAAATCTTACCCGTATCCTACTTTTAATAAAAACCTTATTTATAGGCTTGACTACTTAAATCGCCTCCAACTAAATAAACCTTTTGAAAACCTTTTTTTCTTAGGATTTGGTGCTATGGAGAAATTTTTGGTAGAATATAAGAGTGCAGTGGAGAAGAAACTGGCAGAGTACAAATGTAACACCAACACAGCAATTGAACTGAAATTAGGTATGGATACCATTTTTAAGTGATATTATGTATGTACTGTGTGTATATGTAATCTTTTAAAATTTGAAGTAGAATTTTAAATAACAGTAGTTGTTTATGTAAATGTATTTTTTTGCATTTATTGAACACATTCAGACTTTTTTCAGTGTTGATTTATATCATGGAGTGGGTAGTTTAAGTGGTGGCAGAGTTTTATATACAAGAAAGATAGTGTGGCAAAAAGTGACAGGTATGTGTAGTTTCAGCTCCTAAGAATATGTACCGTTATGTTTTTACCTACAGAAATAATAGACAAGAACAAGCATTGGTGAGGGTGTTGAAAAAAAACTCTCATATATTGCTGGTGGGAATGTAAAGTGATGTAACTACTTGGGAAGACAATTGGGTAATGTCTTAATAAGTTAAACATAAATTAACTACATGGCCCAGCAGTTCTACTGTTATGTCCACAGGAAAATTAGTACATGAATGTTCATGGGAGAATTAGTCACAATGGTAAGAAAAAAATAGAAAAAAACTCATATCAACTAGTAAATAGATAAACAAAATATATCTGTATATGGTACTATTTGACAATAAAAAGGAATGAAATTCTAATACTTGTTACAATGTATTAGAACCTCAAAACATTATGCTAAGTGAAAGAAATGAGACAAAAACATTACAAAAAACCCATCACCTATTGTATAATTGCATTTGTATGAAATGTTCAGAAAACACAAATTCATAGAGATAGAAAATAGATTAGTGGTGGCCTTGGGCTGGAAGTAGGAACAGAGAATAACTGGAAATGGGCACGAGGCTTCTTTTTTGAATGATGGAAATGTTTTAAAATTAGATTGTGGCACAGCCCTAAACTTACTACAATTATACACTTAAAACAATAATATACGCTCATGATTTCTGGTTTCATTATTTTCCATGCCTAGTTTCCTTATCTGTAAAATGAAGTAACTACTACATCATAGTGGTTAAATATGGGGTTAAAAACCAGTAGAGTGCTTAAACAACTTGACATATTTGAAATACTCAATGGGGCCAGGCATGGTGATGCACGCTTATAGTCCTAGCTTCTTGGGAGACTGAGGCAAGAGGTTTCCTGAAGCCCAGAAGGTTAAAGTGAGCTATGATCATACTACTGCATTCCAATCTAGGCAACAGAGTGAGATCCTGCCTCAAAAAAAAAAAAAAAGTAAAGAAAATACTCAATAAATGCTAGCTGCTGTTATTGTTGAAAACAATGCAAATTAACAAATACAAAGAAGGTGACAAGCATGCTAACATTCCTCTGACTACAAGGATAATACTTGTGCATATATTAATTTGTTCTTCTAAATCTAAGATCCTGTTGTACAGGCTGTTTTGTTATTTAGCTTAACAACGTCTATAGATCTACCTCCTTTTAAATTATGTAATACAATATGAAATGTATTATAACTTAGGTATTTCTTCTTGGGGGATTTTTGGGTTGCTTCTCCACTTTTGCTATTAACTCATTCGTGATCACTGATGTGAATTTATGTCATTCCAAATTCTGTTCCTGGTTGCCACTGAAGTGAATTCATGTCATTCCAAATTCTGTTCCTGATTGCTGCTGACATGGATTTATGTCTTTTCAAATTCTGTTTCTGAATGCTGCAACATTGTCATATGTATATGTCATTATATTTTTCTTGAAAATGAATAGGCAAGGAGAAAGTTAATTGAGCGAATTATCTGATATCGACTGCACAATGTTGTTATCGATTTACATAGTTGATAAAAATTGCAAGTTGGTCGTTTTGTTGCAATTAGTGCTGTATACTGCTTGTATTTTGATATTACAGAGCTTTCATACTTTAATGTTAAAAATAATTTGTCATAATTATGGAAAGTGAAGAAATATATGCTGATAAGATTTCCGAGGTCGAAGGTGAATCCAATAAACTTATTAGTGACAGTGAGACAGATAGTGATGTAATTATGTAATGTAAATGAAGACATATAATGCAGATAATCTATCACAGTGAATCTAGTACTGGTGAGAATGAATCAGACATTGAGTGGACAAAATATGATCCAAAAAGAAACTTAGAAGCATTTATTAGTAATCCAGGTGTCAAGGTATTTCCAAATGATCCTCAAAGTATAAGTGAAGTTGTCAGACTATTGGAGATGATTTCTAGAAACGATTGCAACTGAAACTAACAGGTATTATGATAAAAAATACCACAGATATAAATGTCTGAAGAAATAAAAAAAGTGGAGCAATAATACAGTGTCTGAGATGAAAAAATTTCTAGCATTAAATATTTTGATGAGACAAATGAAGAAAACTACAATACATGATTATTGGTCAACACGTTCATCAATTGCAACACCTTTCTTTTAAAAAATAATGACATGAAATAGATTCCTGCAAATTTTGTGGGTTGTGCATTTTTTTCAATAATGCAGTCAAATCCAAGCAGATTATGCAAAATTGAACCTATGATACATTTTGTTTTAAATAAATTCAACACCATGTTCAAACCTGAACAAGAACTTTCCTTGGATGAATCTGTGATACCTCATCATGGAAGACTGTCTTTTCGGATTTATAATCTGAATAAAAATACAAAGTATGGAGTGCAAGTCAGAGTGGTGTCTCAGGCAGATACTGGATATGTTTGCAAGTTTCAGCTCTATTGTGAAAAAGATGACAACAATTTAGAGAAGACCATTTCACTTATGCTTAGTGACAGAAATTTATGGCAATCAACTTCAGATTTATTTTATTTTATTTTCACCTGCTCTCGGTATTAGGAAAGTGAAAAATTTGCTGGTTGCAAATGTGTTGAGAATAATTCTGTAGACTGAGTGCAGCGGCTCATGCCTGTAATCCTAGCGTGTTGGGAAGTCGATGTGGGAGGAATGCTTGAGGCCAGGAGTTCGAGACCAACTTGGGCAACATAGTGACACCTCAACCTCTACAAAAAAAAATTTAGCTAAGTTTTGTGGTGTGTGCTTGTAGTCCTAGCTGCTTGGAAGGCTGAAGCAGGAGGATCTCCTAATTCTACAATAAATATCCATATATATATCTTTATTTACTTTTGTGAGTGTTTGCTAGAATGTATTACCAGAAATTGAGATACTAGGCCAGAGTTTTTCAACTTCAGCACTATTGACATTTTGGGTTAGATAATCTTTGTTGTAGGGGGCTAGTCTATGCACTGTATGATGTTAAGCAGCATATCCCTAGTGTCTACTCGCTAGATGCCAGTAATACCATCTTTAAGTTTTGACAACCAAAAATGTCTTCAGACACTGCCAAACATTTCCTGGGGATGGTAGGTAAAGTTGCCCCTGTTTGAGAACCGCTGTGTATTAAAGATCCCTCTGAAACATATTGTACTTAGGTAGTTATTGCCAAATTGCCCTTCAAAAAAGTACCCATACTTTCACTAACTTTTTTTTTTTTTTTGAGTTGGAGTCTCACTCTGTCGCCCAGACTGGAGTGCAGTTGCACGCTCCCGGCCACCGCAGCCTTGACCTGCTGGGCTCCGGCGATCCTTCCGCCTCAGCCTTCCAAGTAGCTGGAACTACAGGCGTACACTACCACACCCGGCTAATTTTTGATTTATTGTAGAGATGAGGTCTCGCCAAGTTGCCCAGGCGGGTCTCGAACCCGTGGGCTCAGGCAATCCACTCACCTCAGCCTCCCAAGGCGCGGGATTACAGGCTGAGCCACTGACCCCTGCTAGCTTTTTTCTATTTTTTTTTTTTGAGTTGGAGTCTCACTCTGTCACCCAGACTGAAGTGTAGTAGCATGCTCCTGGCCACCACACCCTCGACCTGCTGGGCTCCCGCGATCCTTCCGCTTCAGCCTTCCAAGTAGCTGGAACTACAGGTGTGCGCCACCACACCCGGCTATTTTTTTATTTATTGTAGAGATGAGGTTTTACCAAATTGCCCAGGTGGGTCTCGAACCTGCGGGTTTAGGCAATCCACTGTCTCAGCCTCCCAAAGTGCTGGGATTACAGGCTGAGCCACTGAGCCCAGCCGCTTTTTTATTTTTCCTTAAGTGAGAGTCTCACTCTGTTGCCCAGGCTGGAGTGCAGTGAAGCACTCACAGCTAACTGCAGCCTTGATCTCCTGGGCTCAAAAGACGATCCTTCACCTCAACCTCCAAGTAGCTGGGACTACAGGCATATGCCATCACACCTGGCTGATGTTTTTTCTTTTGTAAAGATGAGTTCTTGCTATGTTGCCCTGGCTGGTCTCAAACTACTAGGCTCAAGCAATCCTCTTGCTTTGGCCTCCGAAAGTACTGGGATTACAGATGTGAGCCAACCGTACCTGGCCAGCTTTGTTTTCTTTTTCAGCTAGTTTGTTATTGGGATATAAAAACACTATTGGTTTTTATATGCTGATTTTGTATCCTGCAACTTTACTTAATTTGTGAAGTGGATCTAAGAGTTTTTAAGAGTTTTTTAATTATATAATATATCATCTGCAAAGAGGGACAATTTGACTTTCTCTTTAATAAATTATATGCCTTTTATTTCTTTCTTTTTTTTTTTTTTGAGTTGGAGTCTCACTCTGTCGCCCAGACTGGAGTGCAGTGGCCGCTCCCGGCCACCGCAGCCTCGACCTGCTGGGCTCAGGCGATCCTTCTGCCTCAGCCTTCCAAGTAGCCGGAATTACAGGCATGCGCTATCAGGCCTAGCTGATTTTTTGATTTATTGTAGAGATGAGGTCTCGCTGTCCAGGCGGGTCTCGAACTCGCGGGCTCAGGCAGTCCACTCCCCTCAGCCTCCCAAAGGCATTGGATTATAGGCTGAGCACCAAGCCCGGCTTATTTCTTTTTTTTTACCTGATTGCTGTGACTAGGACTTTCAGCACTATGTTGAATAGGAGTGAAATAGGTGAAAATGAGTATCCTTGTCTAGTTCTGCTTCTTAGAGGAAAGGCTTTCACCCTTTTCCCATTCAATATGATGTTATCTATGAGTTTGTAATAAGTGGCCTTTATTATGTTGA